AGTCTCAGGAAATGGCCCAAGCTCCATCTGGAACCTATCAGGGTCCATCAGGCGCCTGGGGCGGAACCACCTGGTCGGTTCCGCCTCCCTGCGGCAGGGTGCAGTGGTTAGAAAGTCCAGTCGAAGGAGCGAGTGGTCAGACCATGACAAGGGTTCGATGGCTATATCCCCTATATCAAGGCCACTCAACCACTGACCAGAGACAAAAACTAAGTCCAGAGTGTGTCCCCCTGTGTGAGTGGGGTCATGAATTAACTGAGTAAGGTCCATGGCCGTCATGGAAGCCATGAACTCTCGAGCCACCTCAGACGTTTCACCGATAGATGGCAGGTTGAAATCCCCCATAATAACAAGTCTGGGGGTGTCCACCGCCACCTCGGCTATAACGTTAAGCAGCTCGGGCAGGGCCATTGCCACGTGGCAGGGAGCCAGGTACGTGACCAACAAGCCCATCTGTACTCCATGACCCCACTTTACAAAGAGGGACTCACATCCGGCTATCTGTGGAACAGTGGTCTCCCTTGGATCCAGACCTTCCTTTATAATAACCGCCACCCCCCGCCCCTGCCCTGAGCCCTCGGCTGATGAAATTCACGGAAGCCTGGTGGGCATATATCCACGAGGGGAACTCCCCCCTCCTGGCCCAACCAGGTCTCCGTAATGCCCGCCAGGTCCGCCTCCCCCTCCTGAATAAGATCGTGAATGAGGGGGGCTTTATTAACAACGGACCTGGCGTTGCATAACATCAGCCGAAGGCTCTGGCCCTGAGAATCTGGACAGCCTGGGGAACGAGAAAAGCATTGGGGACCGGAGTGCGCAATCGCTCTAAAATAGCGAGTGCGCATTCCCCGAACATGATGTGGTCCCCAGCTACCGCCATATCTGCCCCTCCCACTCACTATGCTGATGGAAAAGCCCTCTTCAAATCGAACTCCAACCCCCTCCCCGACCTCCGGTTCTACATCCCTAATGTCGCAGCCCTTCGCTAAGGCTGGTCTTGAACCCGGTGGATTTCCCCCAGAACCCACCCTCATCCCCCCCAAACCCCTTAAAATGTTTGTTAAAAACCTACTAAAAAACCCACTTAAAAAACCCCTCAAACTCTTCTTTGCTGCATGCCATCATAGATGATGCATGATCGGCACCGGATAGGCGCTCGGCTGCAAAGCCTTGTTGATCGTGCACTTGTAGTCGGCGCAAATTCTGATTGAGCCATTAGATTTAACTGGGGTCACTATGGGGGTCTCCCATTTCGCGTGGTCAACGGGGACCAACACCCCTTGTTTAATTAATTTGTCCAGTTCCGCATCGATCTTTGGTTTTAATGCGAAAGGCACCCGTCTGGCTTTAAGTCTTATTTGGGCTACGTTGGGGTCTAGGTTTAGGGAGATAGGGGTTCCCACATACTTGCCCAACGTGTCCCTGAAGACGTCTTGGAACTTGTTCAGGAGGCTGTCCTTCAGTGACGGCTCGGACATTCGGTGGATGCTGGTGAAGCCCATGCCAAGGGCTCGGAACCACCCCATGCCTAGAAGACTGGGTAGCTGCTTTGACACGATGGTCAGCGGCAGGTCTTTTTCGTAGTATCCGTAGGTGACTCGGAACGTGCCCATGCCTTCAAGGGGGACCCGGTTCCCCTCGTAGTCTAGGATGCGTAGTCTTTGCTTGGATAGCTGGTCCTTCTGGAACGACGGCAGGAGGGTCTTCAGGGTTGCCCACGACATTATGGAGAGAGCTGATCCGGTGTCAATCTCCATAGAGCATGGCTTGCCGTTGATTTCGACCACCGTGCTGACTTTGTCCTCGATCGCCGTGCTGGCCTGGTCTATGTGTACGCTGCGGCCATCTCGCGGTTCAAATTTGCGCCGTTTCTTCGTGCCGCCTTCTCTCATTGGATGCTTCTGACGCGATGATTCTGGTTGGCTACGGCGCTCACGTGGTTGGTGTTTTCTGGGCAGAATGGCTCTACAGACTTGCGCCAAGTGCCCTTTTTTCTCGCAACGCCTGCAAATAGCCTCTCTGTATTTGCAGGACAGTCTATCATGGTGCCCGCCACAGCTGGGGCAGTTTCGCCGAGGGCTGCCTGCTTCTTTTCTGTGGTGCTCTGTTCGGAAGATGTCCTCATCAGACTCGGACTCCGAGCTGGATCCGGCGTCTTCCCTGTGCACTGGTCTGGACTTGGGGCTGTCTTTGCTGGTCAGCAGACACTGCAGCGTTTCTGCGGCTTTTGTTGAAGCTTCATGAGCCCTGGCCTCGTCTAGGGCTCCAGCAAGCGTTAAATCAGGCTTGGCGAGTAGACGCCTTTGTAGCCTTATGTCTCGAACCCCACAGATTAGTTGCTCAAGCAACGCACCGTCCAAGTCCCTATAGTCGCAGTGTATTGCGGCTTTTCGCAGGCTCGCCATGTACGCGCTGACCGGTTCTCCCTCTCGTTGTATGCGCTGTCTGAGTTGGTATCGTTGCACAAACTTGGAGGGCACAGGAGCATAGTGAGCCCGGAGAGTTGCCATCAGGGTGTCCCAGGAAACAGTCTGGACCGGCGTTGGCTCACAAAGTGACTCCGCCATCTCGAACACGTCCGGTCCACAGTGGCTTAGGAAGAGGGCTCTCTTCCGATTAGCGGAGAGCCCTTGCATGTCGCTGGCTTCGAGTGAGCATTCAAACCTCGTTAGGTACGAGACCCATTTTTCGCGGGTCGGATCAAAAGGCTTGGGCGGAACGTAGGCAGACATGTTCGGTATGCCTCCTATAGTTCGCCTCGTCGCCTAGCTGAAGCTCATGGTCTCACTGGTTCACCTCTTGTGGCCTCAATCCCACCTTCGTCGCCAATGAAGTGGTTCGGGAATAACGAAAGGCACAAGCAGGCTAGTGACAACAGCTCTTTAATATACAGTGAGACTTCAGCAAAAACTCAGAGGCTGCAGCCCTCCTTATATACAATCCTGGAGGGACTGTCAGCCAATCAGAAACTCAGGCAGGTTTGAAACTCCCGCTGAAAAGTATCAATACATAACACCATCCATTGCTTTTTGTCCTGCTTTCAGGTCCTTTGCAAAACAAGGCTTGATTCTCTCTTCTTTGTGGCAACCCCTTAGATATTGGAACACTGCTATCATGTTATCCCTAGTCCTTCTTTTCACTAGACTCGACATACTCAATTCCTACAACCATTCTTCATGTTCTTCATGGCATAGGACTCGGGTACCTCCGAGACCGTCTTCTGCCACCAATAGCCTCCCACCAACCAGTTCGTTCCCACAGAGAGGGTCTCCTCAGGGTGCCATCAGCCAAGTTATGTCGGCTGGCGACGCCCAGGGGGAGGGCCTTCTCTGTGGGAGCCCCAGCCCTGTGGAATGAACTGCCCCTGGAAATTCGTAAGATCTCCGACCTCCGGGTGTTTCGCTGCGCATTGAAGACCCTGTTGTTCTGCCACGCCGGACTATCAACACAATAGTTATAAATTGGGGTATTTAAATTTATTGGGGTTTTAAATTTGAGCCACTTATTTAATTATTTTAAATTTTATATTATTGTTTTGTCTGTGTTTTTAAATAGGCTGTACACCGCCCTGAGTCCTTCGGGAGAAGGGCGGTATTGAAATAAAATTATTATTATTATTATTATTATTATTATTATTATTATTATTATTATTATTATTATTATTATTATTATTATTATTATTATTATTTTAGTCTCCAGCCACTTAAATCATCTTTATTGCTCTTCTCTGCACTCTTTGCAGAGTCTCGGGTGTTTTTTATATCGTGGTGACCAAAACTGGATGCCTTATAAGGCCTTATAAATCTGTACTAACCCTTCATGTGATCTTGATATCCCTCTGTTAATGCAGCCTAAGATAGGATTGGGTTTTTTTTTTTTTTTTTTGGTGGCTGCAGTAGAAGTTCTGGATGGAAGCAATGGGTTTAAATCATAAATCATAAAAAAGCAGATGTTGATTTAGTATTAGGAAGTTTGAAAGAACTGTTCAATTATAGATTGACCCAGTTAAGACTGATTCTTGAGTTAAGACTGATTCAAGGACAGACACACCTATTAGGAATAATAGTACTGTCTACCCTGAAGCTGACATATATAATTTCTAAAGCTTCCTCTATGGATACCTTTCATGATTACATGAAATTACTGATGGAAACATAGGTTTGGGGGAGTTTTAATATAAAATATGACTCACCACGTGAAAAAAACCACCAGCGAATTTCACAATAATTTCAAGGGCTTGAATTAACTTCTGGAAGTTTTCATCTTTGGGAGCAAACTGATGTCCAAAACTCAAAGCACATATGACATTAGAAACTGCATTTATTACTGGAAAGGAAGGGTCAAATGGCTGCCCTGCAGATGAAGATATTTCATAATTAATTATTAAAGAGCAGGAATTCTAAGGGGATGAGGAAAGAGAATTGGTTCAAAACTTTAAAAAAATAAAAAAAATACTGTACATCTGCTTTTGTTCCAAATACACAGAATGGAAAAAAATTCAGCAGATGGGGACTTGAGTCATTACCCCAAATTACATACCTTCTGTTTGTCTAAAGATCTCCACCAATGTCTGAGCTTTGTCTTCTATCTGATGGTCAATGCTTTTCTTCCCCAGGCCCAGCTTCCACAGAGAAGTGACGTCAATGTGCCGCTGCTGCAATGGCAGGTGTGGCCATTGCAGAAAATAATTCCCGAGGACATCGGCAGACAGAGATAAGTGATTCCTTATAACATTTATGTTTAAAAAAAAACCAGTTAGGTCTGATCTTCCAAACATCTTTCTGGATTTCAGGTAGGAATACGATTCTGGCTATGTTATTTTTTCTTTAAAAATATTTATTGGTTTTGGGAATCACAAGGACACTGGGTGACATATGTGGTATGGTGACCACAGGAGCATTGCTGGCCAACCTCTATCTTATATGAGTTCAAACTGCTAGATTGGCAGGAACTGAGTCAAGTGATGAGAGTTCACTCCTTCATGTGATGGTAGGACTCAAACTGCCAGAGCACAGACCTTCTCTGGCACCTTTTAAGCCACTGAGTTTAAAATGGGGTATTAATTGTCCTTAAAACCAAAGTATTCACATCTCGGTCTTTTATCCACCTCCATAGAGTAGATCTGTTCTTTGTTATGTTGTCTAACTTTAGTGCTCTTCTGACCATTCTGGAACTCCATAATGAAATGCCTAATGCAAGAATTGATGTTTCTTCTATCATGGTTCATTAGTGATAGTCCTCAACGTACAACCACAATTAGGACCTTAATTGTTAAGCAAGGTAGTTGTTAAATGAGTCATGTCCAATTTTATGATTTTTTTTAATAAGGTTGTTAAACGAAGTCATTTTTTTTCAGTCCATTGTAACTTTGAATGGTCATTAAATAAATGGATGTAAGTGGAGAACTATTATAATTGTTCCCTCTCTCTTTCCAGTCACTTTTCCTCTCACCTGAGAAGATTTCTTTGTACATGTAGTAGGTTACATGCTCAGAACAATTCTTTTCCTAGGCCAGTTTTCCACCTTGCATTTATCAGAGAACAAAAATGATTGGCCTGTTTGGGTGATTATTGATGGAGGACAGTGTTGCTACCGTACTTTCTCCATTCTGTCGGAGGTTTAGGAGTTCTTACTGAAGGTATCTAAAAGTTGTATCTGAAATAGTATGAGTCTTCTATTGCAATGTTACAAGAAACTTGTAAAGCAGAAATTTCTGATTTCCAGTCAAAGGTTAACATATACGCTGTATTTGGAATATTTTGAGTCTTCTCTTGCAACGTTATATTGTAAGAAACTTGTAGACCACAACCTACTACTTGGTAAGCTAAAACAAAGTGGGATATCACCACCAGATGGATGTGTAACTGGCTTATCAACCATACTCAATGAGTAGTCCTTAATGATACGACATCTACATAGAGGGAAGTAAGCAGTGGGTACCACAAGGTTCCATCTTAGGCCCAGTACCCTTGAATATATTCATAAATGAATTAGATGAGGGACTAGAAGGGGAACTCATCAAATTTACAGATGATACTAAACTGGCAGGAATAGCCAACACCCTAGATGATAGGCTCAAGATCTAGATTGATCTTGACAGACATGAACACTGGGACCTATCTAACAAAATGAAATTCAACATAGAGAAAAGTAAAATCTTACACTTAAGCAAGAAAAACCAAAGTTACAAGTATAGTTTAGGTGAAACCTGGCTTAATAGCAGTAACTGTGAGAAGGATCTTGGAGTCCTAGTGGACAATCAATCAAATATGAGTTAGCAGAATGTGGCAACAGCCAAAAAAAGCCAATGCAATTCTAAATTGCATTAACATAGCGAGTGAATCAAGATCACGTGAGATGCTGGTACCACTTTATAAAGCCTTAGTAAGCCCACACCTAGAATACTGCATCCACTTTTGGTCATCACATTATAAAAAAAGATGTTGACACTCTATAAAGAGTGAAGAGAAGGGTGACTCAGAAATTCAGGGCTACCAAGACAAAATCAACAAACAATTCATCTGGTGTTTTTTTTTTTTTTCTTAACTAACGTATGATCTGAAAATCAAGGACATTCATGTCACTCAAGTGTGATCACTTTCCGTATACCAGAAAGCTTTGCTGCTACCACACACCTCTTTATTTAGATCATATCATTCAGATGCAACTGCAATTTCTAGGAGGCACCTGGGGAAAGGTCCCAGAAGCCTGGCAGGCCCTTCTGTTGGGAATCTACTCAGTCTCCAGAATGCAGGGATAACAAAGGGACTAGGCAGATTACTCTGAAGGGACCACTTTATTTACATTGATTCAGAGGAAGATCTTGAATCATCAAAGAATTCTGACAGAGGAATTGCCAGAAAAGACAACTGGAGCAAGACTGACAAAAAATATTTGGGGAAGGTTGTAGAGAAAGTGATTAGGCTGCAACTACAGAGGGCTTTAGATCACGGCTGTCAAACTCGCAACCTGCAGGCCGGATGCGTCACGCACTGGCCACACCCACCCCCCGGTTTGGTGAAGGGGATAAAATGTCATGATACGTCACGTGATGCTGCCGTGACAACGCAAGTGTGACACCCCTGCTTTAAATGAAGCTCATAATTAGATCCAGTTGAGGTTCAGCTGGGATGAAAAATGCATTGGCTGCTCTTGTCTTGTGGATGTTCTGCACTGGGATGTGATGGGGGCATATTTTCTTCTTTTGCTAATTCTCTCAGCATCATTTCATCCCTTCAAGCATGGCATCATTTTGGTCTATCTACGAAATCTGGTTGGGGAACATGATCCATAGGAGAAATTTAGTAAAAATTAAAAAGATACCAAAAATAAAAGAAAATATGTTTTATTGGCACCCAAAAGGAAACAAAGATAAAGCATGATAACCTTAGTTTTTTTCACACACATCCTCCCAGTCTTTGGTTGACTTGTTAGGTATGTTGCATGAACCCAGCAATAGGTTGAAGAAGTTTCAGTATTGAGTAAATAGAAGCAAAACACAATATTAAGTGAATTTGTATATGTATGAAACATTTATCATACTGAACAGCTCTTCTGTATTTAGTTTTATGCTTTTTTGTGGTGTTTAGGTTTAAGCCTTTGTGGGAATAGCACACAGTTTATAAGGCTGTGGATGCATTGTCACTTTTACAACAGGTGCTTCATTGAGTTCTTTCACTCCTTCAGGCAACTGGAAGCTGAAGGCCTTCAACAGGCTGGTCAGAAAGATGAAGATCTCAATTCTTGCCAGTTGCTCTCCCACACATACACGCTGACCTGTAGGTGAGACAAAGTATAAAGGGAATAATGATCACTTCTCCAAAATATACCCCATCAGCAAGGAAACGTGAGAGAAGATTTGTAACGGATGAAACACATTTCCCTGTTGAACCTTGGTATCTTCCAGGGATGAAATGTAAAATTTGTTACTACTGGTTCTGTGGGCGTGGCTTGGTGGGAGGGGGGGTAATGTGACTGGGTGGGCGTGGGCAACTTTTTTTTAAAAAAAGAGGTTGCAGAAAAAAATGCTTTAAAAGCTTCTGATGATCCCAGCTGTATTGCCTGATCATCAGAGACTTTTCAAAGCATTTTTTAAACCGCCTCTTCCCCGGAAGAAGTTGCAGAAAAAAATGCTTTGAAAAGCCTCTGACGATCCCAGCTGAGCCTCATGATCATCAGAGACTTTTTTTTTACTTTTAAAAGCATTTTTTCGGGGGAAGAAGTTGTAGAAAAAATGCTTTGAAAAGTTTTTTTAAATTTTTATTTATTTATTTATTTGTTTGTTTCCATTTCTATACCGCCCTTCTCTAATAGGACTCAGGGAGGTGAACAGCCAAAGTAAAAAACAGAGCATACAAAATTTAAAAACAGTATTAAAATAATTAAATATTTTGGCCGTAAATTAAAACAACCCAATTTAAAATCAATTTAAAATTTAACTCATTTAACTCAAATTTAAAAAGCCTCTGATGATCATATGGCTCAGCTGGGCATGGTGGGGGAGGCACAGGGATTTTTGCTACCAGTTCTCTGAACCACCCGCCACCATTGCTACCAGATTGGGCAATCCGGTCCAAACCGGGAGCATTTCACCCCTGGTATCTTCTAGTATTGCTTATTATTTAGCATGTTATTATTTAGTCATAGGAATAGCTTTTGGGGATAGTGCTTTGAATCTGTTGGTGTGCTGAGCCATTGATCAAACTGCTTTGTTAAATCAGTTCATGAGCCATGATGACACAGTGGTTAGAATTCAATATTGTAGGCTAACTCAGCTCACTGCCAGCAGTTCGATTCTGACCTGTTCATGATTGTCTCAGCTTTCCATCCTTCTGAGGTCGCTAAATTGAGGACACAGATTGTTGGGGGCAATATGCTGATTCTGTAAACCACTCATAGAAGGCTATAAAAGCACTATGAAGAAGTATATACTGTATTTTTCGGACTGTAAGACACACCTTTTCCCCACAAAAAAGTGGGTGGAATGTCTCTGCATCTTATAGACCGAATATGGCCCTGTTTTTATCCTCCCAAAACACAGGGGGGGGGGTGTTTTGGGAGGCCAAAAGCAGGGCCATATTCGAACGTCCTGTTTTCGCCAAAAACAAGCCTGTTTTTGACGAAAATGGGACACATGAAGAGTTTACGAGGCCTGAAGACTGTTCCTGGAGGCTGGGGAGGGCAAAAATGGGACACATGAATCGGGAGGCCAAAAACGGGCCTGTTTTTTCATGAAAATGGGCCCGTATTTCACAAAAATTGGATGTGCAGAGGGTTTGGGAGGCCTGCAGAGTGCTCCTGAGGGCTGAGGAGGGCAAAAACTGGATGTGTAGAAGCCAAAAAACTATTTTTTTCTCGTCATCCTCTTTGAAATCTAGGTGCATCTTATACTCTGGTGCGACTCATAGTCTGAAAAATATGGTAAGTGCTAAGTGCTTGCTATTCCTAAATAGACAGAATGCCAATTTGAGCAGACCATCTGTTTCCTGCTCAGGAATGCCTGACTATAAAGGTGATCCTTGCATAGGAAGGTTTATAGTAAGGAAGAATGCTATTGATAATATTGATAAAATCTTAGTCTACCTTATAACCTTTCACTTATAACCTTTAGCACTAGCTAAACCTTTAATAAACCTATTGTTCTTAGTTTTATATACTACTCCATAGGGATTTACTGCACTCTGAGAGTGATTTACAATGTCAGCACATTGCCCCCAAAAATCTGGCTCCTCATTTTACTGACCTTGAAAGGATGGAAGGTTGAGTCAAATTTGAGCCAGTCAAGATCAAACAGCTGGCTGTGGGCAGAGTTTTCCTGCAGTTTTCCTTTCTAACCACAGCCACACCATGGTTCAAACTTAGTTTATATATAAGTGTTATATTAGGGTTCTTTATGAGTATGAGTATATTATAGGGAAGTCTGGGGGGAGGGGAGGGGTAGGGAGGGTTAGGGAGGTTGGGAAGTTTGGGGGGGGTGGGGGAGAAAAGGGGTGAAAATGTAATTGTAAAACTTTTGCAATAAAAAAATATATATATTTCTTTTTGAAATACATTTATTTTTCCCTGTTGAAGCATTTTCCTTATTTTGATGGATCAAAAAGTTATTCAGTAATCTACCAGTCCCAAAGTCTCAGTTATCTGTAACACCAAAAAGCCAATATTGAAACAGTTTACTCAGTCCCAAAATTATTTCTCAGGATGCCCAATATTTATAGTTATTTATAGTCCTCAACAGGTCAGTTTACTTCTAAGTTCTCCAAAAAGTTTTTTCTTCTTCTTCTTTCACCTCTTAAGCAATTATCAGACAATGTTTATAATCCTAGGTGAATCCATCAGATTTCACCATGTCTTCTTAAGTCACACAGTCAACTCTTCAATTTCAGTAATAATTCCTGGTATTTGTAATCTACTCTACTTAGAAATCTTCAAAAGTCTCACAATTTGTTCCCCATCAGTCGTGAAGCAAATAAATATAAATAATATGCAAAAAGGCAGTCTTCCAGACTTTAGAGAGTCTTTCTTTTGGAATTTCTTTTCTTTGGGATTAGATCTCTAGTATAGAACTTGAAAATCACCCAGTTCCAGGCCACTGTTCACAAACTGCTCCAGCACATTTCCTTCTTCAGTTGTCCCAGCTTCTTGGTGGCCATAATGGTCACCTCTCCACTTCATTGTTGGATGGGAGGGCACCTCGGATCAAGCAGAAGAGCCGCCGCTCTCCGTGATCTGCAAGGGCCCCCCTCCTTTCTTTGTCATCCCTTCAGGGTGAGTTTAGTGCCTTAGGGCCCTCCAATGATGAGGATTCAGCCTAGCTAGGTTCACAGAGCCCTGTTGCCCACGACCATCCCACAGCAATGCCAAACTGGAATTCCTAATCTTGTAGCTATCTTACAAAGCTCTACTGATTACAATCTAAATGTAAAATCTAAATGTAATTAATATTTCTTTGTAGTTTAAACTTGGTAGCCCAAGAGGAATTTCAGACTCTCATGGTTTTCAAACTAGAAGGAATTTAGATTCCTTGATTTTCTATTCAGTCCATGATGAATTCAGAACAACTCAATGTTGGGGCGGTGGGAATCTATAAGTGATAAACTGCTTTGGGTTCATATACGTACCCATTCCGAAGGGCAGAAACTCTTCTCTCTCTATGAACTTCCCATCCTTATCTAAAAAGTGATTTGGGTTGAATTCTTCAGGTGTCTCCCATTGTTCAGGATCAAAGAGAACAGAACGCAGGTCTGGGAAAATAATGGTCCCCTGCAAACAAAGAGATGATTAAACAGAGCAGTTTCATAAGGGAAAAAGGCAGAAAAGTTCAAACAATATTGATGAAACATTTGGTTTTAGTTTGCCTTTATGGACCCATATTTCTTCATTTCCAAAAACAGTTTCTGAGAGCAGTGGCTGTTCTTAGCATGTCTCACTTTTGGAATGTGGTAATCCTTCATCTTTACATCTTTTGTAGTTTGTCTGGGAGGCCCAGTTATCAAGACATATTTTAGACGCTGCATTTCATGAATCACAGCATTGGTGTAGGGCAGCTTCTTCCGATCCTGATAGGAAATTGACTGTGAGATGTCAAACACATCTTTAATCTCCTTCTGGACTTTCTCTAGAAAAAAAATGGAAATAGAAGCTTAATTTCCTTCATTTGTTTCCAAATTTTAATCCTTAGAGGCCTATTGCTACCAATGTTCTTCAGAGTATGTGATCTTCTCCTTCAATTTATTACTGGCTTCTGAATTCCTTATCTATTGGAATACCAAAGTTCACAACCCCAGCTAGGCCTCCAACCCCAGTTGCCAGCTCATTGACCTTTATGTCACCATTGTCCCTGGCCCACCTTACCAGAGGGCTCCAAATCCATCTCTGGTCTCTGGGTTTTGCACTCCTCCTTCCAATCTCTGACCTCTGATTTGGGACACATACTTCACTTCAAAGGCCCCTGTTGACTTTGGGCAAGTTCTTGCTTCCAGTCCCTGCCAGTGTGTCATCCTTCTGGGCTGGCTTCAGCTCCAGCTCCAAGATAGCTCTTCACTACACCTCTATCAGCCTTCCACCCTCAGGACACACTCTTTGGCATGGCTTCCAGCCATGCAACCCCTTCAGACTGGCACTGGATCACACTCAGGGCCACCTCTCTACCTCCTACCAGTCCCTTAGGAGTGCGGTGGCACATGCATTTAGAATGCTGGGTTGACAATTACAAGCCTGTGTTCGAGACCTGAGTGCTGCTCTATGCTTGGGTGAGCGCCTGTCATTTGCTCCAGCTCCTGCTGATGTAGCAATTTGAAAGCATGCAAACATGAATAGATAAATAGTTACCACTTTGGTTGGCTCATTTAGGGGATATGAAAGGCATCCCCAACTGGGCATCCCCCAGACAACAGTGATGGCACTGGTTAATACTTTTAACCTGGAAGCACCTCGGTACTTCCAACGTTTTATGACGATGAACAGTCCCTTGTCCTGGTCATGTCCCTCAGTGCTTCAGACAATGGTCCTAGGTTGGCTCTCCCTGTCCACACCAAATCTTCACTGGTTGGCAGGGTGAAAATACAAGTCTCAGCTGCCTCCGGACTCCAAATCAATCCCCTGTCTTTGCCAGGCCATCCCAGTTTGGTCCCTTCAGTCTCTGGACTCCAGTCAAATAGCAGGAAAGGCAGTAGCAGGGCAGGAAGAAGATAAGGTTAAGGGGAAGATTGAGGGCTTCCTTTGGTGCTCCAAGTGGTGAAGAATCTCCCACAATTTCCCCATCCCTTCTGTTCATGGCAGGGAGC